TCATAAATAAGGCGCGTCGGCTTATAAGGCATATTCATTAATGCTGGATTACCAAAGGCACAATGCAGTATGAATGTACTTTTACTTCCATTTTTGAGTGAAACAAAACCACCAGATACTCTTGTAAAACATGACTCCAATTATTTGCCGACCTAAACTCTATAACTAAAATAACTCACTAAGTGCCAGCAGTAATATTGAAACTTAACACACAACACAAAACAATCACAGCTGCTAAAAAATATGCAGCTTTAGCAAGAGATGTTTGTAGCTTTAGAAATTTTGTTGAAATTAAAGACTTTTATCCGCGCTTAATAGAGCAAAAAAAAAAAACTGTTTTAAAGAAAAAAATGTCTCTTCAAAGTGTCTTTCGTTGTGCTCCATTATCCTCTTATCAAAGCAGCTATCTGTCCCCTCCTGCTGAGTTCCACGTGGTTCAGCCAAGTCTCTGGCTTTGTCTCCTGCCGCTAAATCACCTCTCTACTTACACATATCTCCTTCTCGCCTGAAGAATTGCAGTTCAGCAGAGATTTGCCGTTCTAATCGAATATGTGTGTGTCTAAAAATGCATCATATATAATGTATGTGGAATCTCGTCAGGTCTGAGAGAGCCTCAGGCGACGTGGCCACAGCCGCCGAACAAAAGAACAAACGAGGAAAAATGTGGAGAGAAGGAAAGCAGGTTGGAGAGCTGATAGAGGGCGTGTGATAATACGAGATTGTCTTAAATATTTAAACAGGCTTTTTCTGGGTTATTTTTCAGGAGATCATTAATGTGTGTAGCAATCATCAATCAGCATCATAAAAAAAATCACCATGAAAAAATAATATTGAGACCATTTACTTTGTCATTTTGTGTTTTAGAATGTGAAATAATATCTTAAGAATCTGAATCAGAATCATGGCTCAAGGTTCAAGTTAACAAACAAACAAAATAGGTAAAGGCATGCATTAAAATTACTACTATAAACAAGTGCACACATTAGGCATTTAGCAGTGCAATTAAAGTGACAGTAGCATAAAGTGACAGCAGCATAAAGTGACAGTCATAAAGGCCAGGGGTCAGTGACGTGTTAGACTGCAGAGGGGAAGAAACTGTTATAACGAGAGGTTCTGGTCCGGATGGATGGAAGTAGAAAATATAAGGGATGAAACATGTATGAAGGGTAAAAAATGCTTTCTGTCTGTAACTCCTGGTTCTGCCATGAGAGGGAGAATTTGATGTGTTATTCCTAAACTTGTCAAATTAGCGGCTGCAAAGACTGCAAAGGGGTGTGAAATTGCCTGAACTAATTTGTGATTTTTTTGTTTGGTTTGAGTGTGATGTAATTAAGATTAAGATTAAAAGTACAATGACATCTTGCTAGTGCGGGACTGAGACAGAAGCTTTTAGAAGTTCCTGATACAATATTAGCATGGATGGGTCAAAAACAACTCAATCATGAACTCACCACTGACCCCTGCCCTTAGGACTGTCACCTTGTGCTACTGTCACTTTACTGCACTGTTAAAGTCTATTGTTAGAATTATTAGAATAATTTCTATACACAAGAAATTCTATGAAGACTTTTTATGCATGTCTATTATTACTTGTATAACTTGTTTGCATCTTGAGCCCAAGCAAATTCCTAGTGTGTGACTTCCTATTACTTCCGATGGCTCTAAAGATATTTCTGATTCTGATGTTTAAGCATGTTTCCTCACTGTTCTTGTTCAGGAGACCATTGTTGTCTCGGTCTTTGTGATTAGAGCATCAATCTCATACGTAGGCGGCACGATCGGACCTCTCAACCCCCTCTTATTCTGTGAGCCTCCGCAAGGTCAAGGTCTGCGTCTCAATCACAGGGACGTCCCAAGGTTTTCGTTCCCTAAGGAGTCATTACATCCATCACATCATGCTTCCATAAGAGACATCACTCACTGCACAGGGCAGCAGTTACCAGGCTGAAAATGTCATTACATTTTACACAGAATTCTGCAAAAGAAAAGCATTTTGAGATACATTGGTCCATCTCATATCGTGGTTCACCTATCGTGGCCTTGCTATTTTGCATATGTGTTTTTTTACAGTGTGCCTCTCATGCACATGTGTATACTCCAACATTATAAAACATCATAAAACCGCTAGTATTATATGACAGGACTACTGCGGTCTTCCAGTAGTCCTCAGTCCTGCGGTCTCTCCCACATTAAGGCTAACACTATGGTGACGTCTGCACTCGGTCAGTCCAGTTTCTTTCGTTGTGACAAGTTTAAAATCAAGAACCTGTCAGACAGATGAGGTGGGGGGATGTGTTGTTGCTGCTTTATGCTATAGTTCCTCTAATTAGCGTGGATGAAGCTAAAAACATCTCCAAGTCGGTGTTTGATGAGAAAACAAAGAGAATATTTTGACAAAGAATTTTGTTTTCTGTTTTATACTTCTATCTATGTTTTGCTTGCTAGCTGACCAGACTTGAGAGTTTAAAAGCAACACTGGTGGATTTTTGTGTCTTTAAAGAATATCGATACAGACCAGACACAAGCCGGCGGTGTAGACTCGGTCAATAAGTCATTCAGCACTTTAAAAAGACATGAATCCAAGAGGCCTGAAAAACAAGACCTCTAACTTGTATATTTTACAGAGACCACAATTCTAAACACTTACCTCTACAACACGGGTGTCAATTCATTTTAGTAGGAGGCAGATTAAAAAAAATAAGCGCTCTCCTCTGCATTTGTGTATATTTTTTTCAAATTTCCTGACTATTTGCTGACTCTGACTGATCCCATTGAAGCCAAATACAACATGTTAATTTCTCCATTGTGAGATCAAAAAAGTGTGATATTATGGCATTATGTATTATGTTTACAAATGGTTTACATTACTTTAACCTGAGTTTAGACAGTATTTTCTGGTAGATTTTTCTAAGCTTCCAGAAAGTTACGTGACTGTGTGTTTGGACTGACCAAAAACTGTTAAAGGAAGTGTCAAAGGTAAAGGATTGGCCAATGATTTATGGGATATGGTGTTCTGCATGTTGAAATAAAATCTAATGAAACAAAAAATGAATACATTTAAATTACCAGTTTATGTGTTGGGTTCCAAATTGAGAATAAAATAAATAATATGGTTGTTTTTCAGAAGAAAGTGAGGTATAACATGCCATTAGCTCATATTAGCTTTGCCCTTGATGCTGCAAGTTAAGAGCAATAATTGAACATAATTTCAAATATTTTATGAATTTGTAAACTAATCTAAATCCACTTACTGCAACACAGACCATTGCCCATTCCAGTCATAAATCTGGGCACAATATAAAAATTGTTCCTGGTGCCAATAGCGATATAACGCACAAAGAGATCCTGAACTCCTGCCAAACACCCAGCCGTCCAAATCACTCTCACCTTTGGAGTCTGATCTTGGTCCAAGGGCGAGACCAGCTGCCCACCTTTCCATGTGGTACCCATCCAAAAAAGCTAAAAATTAAAATGCATTCTTTTGATATTTTTTCTTTCAGAGTCCTGTGAGAAACCAAAGAAATGCAGCCAATCTGTATCGCTTTCACTTTCTGAAGTGCAAAGTCATCCTGTATCGTGTTGTGAGTCCCACGGTGAAGATAAAGCGGAAAAATATATCCTCAAAAGAGATGAGAGGACAGGAAATGATTTCAAACAAACAATAATTCTCTAACGGGAGCACAGGGGCTGCACGGTGAACAGGCACAGCACAATAGCAGCAAAGAGTGGAGGAACACGAGCGAGCAAAACAGTCGATTTCTGAATAATAGAAATAAGGAGCAATACTAAAAGTGCACTATTGAAAGAGAAGGAGGTAAAGAATCTGTCTTAGTGGAAAGTAGGCAAGAAAAGTGTATTTGTATAGCACAGTTCAAATGTTACATGTCTAGTGTGTGCATTTAGTGTGCGCTTGTATATAGTAGTAATTTTGAGAAGTGTTTTGATTTTTTCATGCATGCCTTATATCAGAGGTGTAAGGGTTAGAGTTAAAGTTAGGGTTGCGGGGGGCCAATTAAAAATTGTGGGGACAAAAGTATGAAAGGGGTTTTGTTTTATTACAACTATTTACTTTTACATATTCTTTTGAGTTTGAATATATGAGTTTGGATATTAGTTTTTGGTTTTGGAAGAGATTAAATTTTATGGTGTTTTACTGAGAAACAAAGCTTTTCATTTAATCATAACATGCCATAGTAGCCCATTACCATCAATGCTGCAAGTTACTGTGATAATGATAAATGAAAATAATTTTAGGGGCAAAAAAAATCATTTCAGAGACGAATTTGGCACCGGGCTTGTATTGAAATGCCTGCCTTTTATACATTTTTACTTGTAAAACTTGCTCGCACCTCGAGCTAAAGCGAATTCCTAGTTGGGTACTTCCTGTTACTTACAATGGCAATGAAAAGATTCTGAGTGTTTGCTTCTAAGTACATTTATGACCAGGTATAAACATCAAATGTGATCCATTTGCCTTGAAGCAAATGGATCCATCGCTGCTTCTATCTCTACAGCAACTTTGCATCTGGCTTCACCAAGTATTAAGTTCCTCTTTCTCTGAATGCAAACGGACACCCCATTTCACCATTTTGTTTAAGCATCAACTTTGAGTTGCCTTGTTCATGAACCGTGCTATACAAATAAACTTGCCTTGCTCTTCTAGTAGCAGGAAAAAGTAAAAGTGTGAGATGAAGCCCTTGTACAATGTGGCCTCACAGCTTGTGTCACTACTGAATGAATGAAGGAATGAATGATACCGTTGTTGGTCGCACAATAGGAAAAGTATTGTCAGTATAGTGTATCTTTGTCAGTGTATGTATAAAGTAGTACCTGACACTGGGAGATCACTAGTTCATTACAAAAACGCAAAGCAAAATGTATCTAAAATACCCCACTGTTATCTTTCTCTTATCTCAATACATTTCTCCACAACAAACAAAGCCAAGTCCCGCATCCACATCAAAACCCCTGTATTATCGCTATGGTAACATGGTCCTCACCTTGTCCATCTCCTGCTGCAGCACCTGTTTGGCCACTTCCAGATCTTGCAATTTGTTCCTCAGCTCCTCGTTCTCCTCCTCCAGACGAGAGCGCTTCTTCTCCCCTCCGTCCAGCTGGCTGTGCAGGCGAATGGAGACGTCCTTCGCCACCTGAAAACAGTAAAACCATGAACACAATGGTTTAGTGCAATGATCTAGCGCACCACGTTTTCTAAGTCAATTTATGAACATGTTTTAAGATTTGTGGACCACTGTGTTTTTAATCATTGCATTTCCCTTAGTTTGAACTGTTTGATTCTCTGATTTGTGTTGGCAAATCCACAGTTTTGTAAAGTCCTCTGGGATAACCACTGTCGTGATTTAGGTCAATACAAAAATAAAGTAAATTGATTTGAATTTATCATTTCAAGGACAAAAGCTAAGACTGAGCCCAGAGACGACTGGAGCTGTATCTTTTAGGTGTTTTCAGACTATAGACCGGTGTTTGTTTTGACCCATGTTGAAATGCTGTGTCGACCCGGGCAGTTAATGGCAGCTAATGATACAAAAAGAACAAATCCTCAACTTTTGATTTGGTGACGAGAAATCTTCATGTGGAAAAGGATCGAACATCTGCAGGAAACCTTTCTGAGCTCACAGTGTTTCAATAGTGTCTTATAAATTATACTGAGAGCAGGGAGGAGAGGGAGAGTTATTTTAACTAATGTTTGGTTGTCTCGTGACTGTTTTACTCCATGTGGAAAAAGGGAACGTGTCAAAACAAACATTGACTTTGCAAACAAGTCGTCTAAACTCGCAGCACACTGCACACATTGGACTACGACAAGATTATCCTCCACTTGGAGCAAATCGAAGAAGTTGCAAACATATATTTACATATATTTTTTACATGGACAACTTTATAAAGGGAAGAGCAGCACAATACTCAGCTTGCTACATTGTCATTATGCAAAGTATTGTGCTATGTGTGACTTGAGAGTAGTTTTATATCCTTCCTCACCCGAGCCACACATAAGCAACAGGCAATAAAACAGCTTTAGGTTTTATTGCTGCCTAAATTACTGCTTCATACTTTATTTCCACAGTGAACTCGCCTCTGCAAAAGGACAATCACGAAAGGCAGTTAAATGTCATCAGCACTTCACAGATAAAACTGTAATGATCTCACAGAGAAGAAATGTATACATTTGGTGTGCAATAAGACAGGAAATGTGCAATAAGACAGGAAATGCGAAAATGTCAAAAAAAATGAAAAAGTGATGTAGGGTATCTTACGTACAACTAAAAAGTGACAATGGCAGAGAAAAGCAGTCTTAGTGCTGTTCATTATTAAGTGATTTATTGACATGAAAGCATTTAGATTTTTTGATTTTCAATAAAAGAGGGTTTTAAGAAGATTTAATGATATCATTTAGAACATGTCAGACTAAGCACCTGAGAGATTTCACGTCAACGCTGAATGTATTGCCTCAGCTCCTACCATCACGTCATCGTTCCATCCTACACCCTCGCTCTGAAGTGTCTTGCCTCAGGACTGAACTTGAAATTGTTCAGTATTTTGTTGCAGTGCCATTCAATAGGCATCCAGAAAAGCGATAGCATTACACAACCGTCTGCCTCAGTCATTTTAAACCTTCTCCACACATCTAAACAGAGTTATGAGAATCAGGCTCTGAAGTAATCTTATTTTAAGCCAGCACTGACGGGAACACACTTCACACTGTCTTCAAGGCTTTAGAAGTGGCTCCTTCTGTTCAGGTAAGACGGGGATAAGGATAGAAACAGTTTTCAAACAAACTATTTTTGCGGCAGGATTTGGCCGCTGTCACTGAGGGTTGGATTTAATTACGGTGGAATATGATTATTGCATAAAACAAGCTTTCTGCCAGTCACCTTGAGTGTCAGAGTAAGAAACTAATCATAAAGTAGTGAAGCGTCGAATATGCTTTGTCAAAATCTTAATAGCTACTTCCACTCTTGTGTGCAGAGCATAAACGAGAAATATTTACGAAGGCAGTGACGTCTATCTCCGCCGTTGAAACTTTCCTTGTGCAATCTTTTTTGAAAATGGCCGGGAGTGGACCCTCCCGCAGGACAATGTGAAAAATTGTATTTGCGCATGCGTTAACCGGTGTTCTGTCAAGTTGTGCCGCTTGTCAAGTTGTGTGCCTCAGTTGTTAATGATTTAATACAAACCTGTGCATGTGAGGGCGGACATAAAGTCTGTGAATTGTTTAAAAAGTTTAAGGTGAGATGTTGATGGTTCCATGTTGTGGTGAGGGTTCCATGTTGTGGTATGTGGGTTTTAAGAGTAAAAGTTTCATGTAAAGTTTGGTTTAAGCAGTCAACTGCTCCTGTGAAACCACACTGCTACTGTGTGATAGCAGTCCTGTTGTCGAGTTGAACTACCGCTGACGTAGGCCCATGACGCATCCTGAGGTTTACTTGACAGCTAATACTTTACAACTTTTTCATTCATTCATTCATTCATTTTTTACCCCTTTATTAGTCCATTTCTGGGTCGGGGGGGTGACAATGAGAGCTGCCACCCAATGCTCATAGCACCAGTCCCTCGCTGATCCTCTGCAGGTGGATGGCTGCACAGGAAGATGGCTGCTACATCAGTGGTGCCACAGCCTTGGACCCTTTTGAGCGGGGACCTGTCCCCACTGGTGTAGAGGCGGTGAATTGAATCAAGCTTTTATAAACATTCAGATACAATGTAGAGTTTTCAAACAATCTATTCTGGTCATGGCGCTAAATTACTGTAATAGTCGTAAAATGGGTGGATAAGCACAAAAACAGACTCCAGTGGGTGATGTGTCTTGCCTAAAGACACAACAACAGTCACAGCAGACTCATTATGGCACATGGTGTTCCCAGAGGACTCCCATCACAATCACAGCACTAACCAGTCCCTGTAAAAAGTCATTACGATCAAAGAACCCGTGTTAACATCTGTGAGTGACTCTCTCTCTGTGAGTTGTTAGTATAACGGCCTGCAGCGGTGGATCCTGGTTATAATCGTCCACTTGTGAGGAGTGCGTTCTGTGCCCATGTGCTCAAGTATGATGTCAGTTTACAGGCGCTTACCCACAATGCACTAGTGTCCGACCCACGCGGCCCTCGCCCTCGTTTATCATTCAACCATTTCTTTGTGGTGAATGTTTTTACAATGAGCAATACACAGAATTCACATTTTCACATGTTTAGCTCTAAGCCAGGGGTGTCCAAACATTTAGATTAAGAGCTACACTGCGAAAACAATAAAACATGAGGTAATAAATACTTGAAATTGAGTGGTTTTGGTGGTTTTGAGACTAAATGTACAAAGCCCTTTTGTCTCATTTCAAGAACTGTGGCTTTACTTTCCCATTCCAAGGAAGACATTTTGCTTTGTCCCGTTGGCAAGTCTTGTTTGAAGGCAGTCAAATTAAGATACATTTAGCCAAATTTTAGCGATTTTTGACTAATTTCGCAAAACTTTTTGCAGTGCATGTGCTGAAATACAGACAACGTTATGGAGGACCAAAACTACTAAAATAAAAATGCAGGTAAATAAATGCATATTTGTGTTTACATACTGTGTGTGTGTGTTGTTAGTCTCTTTTCTTGTTGTGTTTGTTTTCTATGGATCCTTGTGTGTCTGAATTAAAGATTAATTAAATAAAAAACTGTATATCTGAAGATCTTGGTCCAGAAATGTGCAGTGCTAAGAAGAGCAAAGATAATGCGCAAAACTCTCAAGCTCCCAATGTATTTATCGATATATTTATTACTTTGGCAGTTTTGATCCTCCATAGAAAGTGGAAGTAACACAAAAAAGAGTAATAATATTATAATCCACTTTGTTATCAGAAAAATAATACTTTTTTTAATTAAACATTTGGAAAGACAACTTAATACATGAAAACCTGCAGACACACACTGCTATTGAACGATAAGTTGTAGTAGTTTGGACATGCCAGCATCAAGTACAGGGGCCTCAAAGGGTCAAAACTCAAACTTGGGTCCTCCTCTCACTCTCTGGTGTGGCTGCTTCTTTGTCTCGCACATGTATTTTGGTCGCGACTCAGTCAGAATACTAATTCATGTCTATAGTTTCCGGGGAGAGATACAATGGCCTTAAATGTTGTTATGGGAGACAAATTAAAAGAACATTTCTCACAGACGTAAAGACAATAAATGACTGTGGACTGTGAACAAAAATTGATTAAGGGGAAGAAAATGGATGGATGGATGGAGACTAAGATATGTTGTCTATTAATGCAATTGTAGTTGTCCTCATGTATGTACATACATACAACATGTATGTTCTCTTGATCTATAGAACTTGCATGAAAATGTGTATGGGACAGGTAAGAAACTTGAACCTATATGCAGTTAAATCGGTGGAAAGCACTCTTGCCTCTCAGCAAGAGGGTCTTGGGTCTTTCTGAGTGGAGTTTGCATGTTCTTCCTGTGCTTGCGTAGGTTTCTTCCGGGTACTCCGGTTTCCCCTTTCCACTAAAAACATGCACACTAGGTTAAATCCTCCAGCTCCGGTAGTCCTGACCAAGCCGAGCATCAACATCTGGAGATGGGTTCCCAGGCGCTGTACGACGGCGACCAATGCTCCAGACGTAAGCCTTAGTGGCATCAGGATGGGTCAAATGCAGAGAATAAATTGCCCTACGGGGATCAATAAAGTGCACCTTTACCTTTAAATCTCAATTCAGTCCATTTTAACTAGCGGTATATGTTTTAGTGTCATTAGCATTGTAATATGTCAAATGGCTCTAAACAACAGAAGCCACTTATCTCCGGTTCCTGTTTTTGTTGCTACGATCCTTATGTAAGGAGTATTTGTAGTGTGGACAGGTTTAGGGCCGGCAAAGGTCTTGTTGATTTAGGAGGCTCCCAGGGGCCGAAGGGTAATTCTGTGTGGGGATGCTTAAGGCAGATTTACGAGCGGGAGGCTGAGCTTTACCAATGGAACCGTAAATAAACACAGACGGAGGGGATTTTGGATTCAAAGTATATCAAAGCTGTGAGTCAGTCAGATGGAATAATGAGGATGAATTTCACAGCAGATGACACAGCAACAGCACTTTCACTTTAATAATGGTGTTGAGTTCAAGATGGTTGATGCTGTATAAACCTCAGTTGGC